TTCCGGGGGGAGCTGCTACCACCGCCGGTTCGTCGTCGGACGACGTTGACGCTGCCGCAGCCGCCTTCCCACCTGGTAGACTGGCGAGGGGGGTTGAGGGGGGGGGGTGTACTCATAGTCGTGCATGCCGTAGTCGTTTGACCATTGACCTCGCATCCCTACAAAGCCGGGACGGAGCACGCCGGGTTCTCACCGGACCAGGCTCTCACATCACCAAGCGCGAAGGGCCGTGAGGTATTCGGCGAGACGCATGAAGGGTGAGCCGCATCCTGCTAAGGGTGTTCGGCATCTTGTGCTTACTTCCTTGCGTACGGATGACAGCTGCGTAAATGACTTAATTTATTTTCTGGTGCTTTCACGTCCAGAGACAGTTGTAAGCACTGTGTAACTGCCTCGAGGACGCTTGACCATTTTAACACAACGTGGTGCGATCATCCCCCTTGCGCGGAGTGAGGGTTCTCGACCCCGCACAACATGATCTACTCGACCACCATTATGGTTACCGCCAAAGAAAAAACCAAAGGTAAAAAAAACCCGGCAACCTGGTTGCCGAGTTCACGAGGTGAATTGGCTTGTTTTACAACGTCGTTGCCAAGCGACGAAAACCCAATCCCGATGGCAAACACCGGGGGGGGCGGCTTGTTTTACAACGTCGTTGCCAAGCGACGAAAACCCAACCCCGATGACAAACACCGGGGGGGGGTGTACTCATAGTCGTGCATGCCGTAGTCGTTTGACCATTGACCTCGCATCCCTACAAAGCCGGGACGGAGCACGCCGGGTTCTCACCGGACCAGGCTCTCACATCACCAAGCGCGAAGCGCCGTGAGGTATTTGGCGAGTCGCATGAAGGGTGAGCTGCATCCTGCTAAGGGTGTTCGGCATCTTGTGCTTACTTCCTTGCGTACGGATGACTTAATTTATTTTCTGGTGCTTTCACTTCCAGAGACAGTTGTAAGCACTGTGTAACTGCCTCGAGGACGCTTGACCATTTTAACACAACGTGGTGCGATCATCCTCCGTTGCGCGGAGTGAGGTTTCTCGACCCCGCACAACATGATCTACTCGACCACCATTATGGTTACCGCCAAAAAAAAAAACGAGGTAAAAAAAAAAAAACGGTAACCTGGTTGCCGAGTTCACGAAGTGAATTGGCTTGTTTTACAACGTCGTTGCCAAGCGACGAAAACCCAATCCCGATGGCAAACACCGAGTGGGGGGGGGGGGGGGGGGGGGGGGGACCCAAAAAGGGGGGGGGGAATTTAAACCCCCGGAAGGGGGGGAAACCCCGGGCAAAACCTTAATCCCGGGGGATGGGGAAACTTTTAAACCCGGGGCCAAAAACCCCCAAAAAAAAACGGGGTTGGGGGGGGAAACCTTTTTTTTGGGGGTTGGGGGGGCAAAATTTTGCCATTTGGGGCCCTCCCGGAAAAAGGCCAAAAAACCCCCTTTTTCGGGGGAAAAATTTAAAGAATTCGGGGGGAAGGGGGGGCCCCCAAAACCCCCCCCTTTAAAATTGGGGGGGCGGGGGG